CAAGGAAAGTTGTTCACCAACTGAAAATGAATTAATGATTTGGCGCAAATTTCAAATGCAAGTCTCATGTTGTGACGGAAACTCTCTTTAGCATACCAATCTTAAATCATGAATTTAATGTAATTGGAAAGGACTAGTTCAAAATAAAGTGTATTAAATAATAAGAGATGTAAATAAAGCAATTAGGTAAAAAAAGTAGCTTAAAAATCGAAATAATCAGTAGTTGATTCTAATTAACCCATCAATAAAACAACAAAACCGAGATCATTTAATGGCTCTTTCACACTGATCAACCCTTGTTTTGGATGAATTGCAAAATATTTGGAGCGAAGTTCACCATTATCAACAATGCTGTATTTCAGCTCATCGCCAACATCACAATCAAAAGCAAATACCTAGAAATGGTTAGGCCTCAATTAAACCGCACAAAGTTTCAGATTGTCGGGATAATCGGTAATCGGTGAGATATGATCTTAATAATACAAAGTTCATTTAATCTTTCGGAAATGCCAATCTAGTCATGAAATCGAGAAGAATAAAAAAAAAGACAGACATATGAATGAATTTTTAATAGCCGTTTAGAGCTAAACTGTCTAAACAAAAATAAATGATCTTTTTAAGAAAGTCACCATTAAGACAGATTCACCAGGACGTGAAGCAACCGGTACTGATGTTTCGATATTTGAAGAGATGAAATGCGGTATGTTGTCATTTTCATCAATTACATTCAACATTAAAGTAGTAAAAGCGCATCGATTACCAGCATCAGTAACCATAATGACGAATTGATGAACGTGTTGCGTTTCGTAATTAAATGGATTACTTAAAGAAAAGTTGCTATAAAGTTTATTTATTGCCTGGATTTTTCAAAAAAGTAATTGAAGAAATGGTTGCAGAATATTCTGTGTTTAACAGATAACAAACCTTGTGTAAATTCTACCCGTTGTTTCATCTATATTCAACACTCCAGAACAATTATCATAGCAACCGTTAAATGAATATCTTAGAGGAGGTATACCACTCTGTGCCCGAACAGTCATCAATGTCACACCAGTTGGTCTATAAAAAGGCACAATTTGAGGATTCCTAATGATTTAAGTTATTCACAAGAAATTTTGTCGTTTCATTGCGCCGTCGCGTGAGTCTATCTATGTAAAATAATACTTTACCTATTTTCCCGTATACTTGTAGAATAATGTGTCCGTTCAAAACGTGGTAACTCTTGCAGTTGTCTGCTTTGGCTTTTGACAATTTTCACCGCCAACAAGCAAAAATCCGTGAAAATACCATCACTGACTGATATGTTGAAGCGTTTTCTACCAATTTTAAGATCATCCTCGGCAACTGCTCGCAGCAGTGATACAACACCCGTGGAGCGGTTGATTTGCAACAAGGTCTCGTCACCGTCTATGATAGAGAATAGGAATCGACTGCCATCTTCAAGATTTGATATAGTATCCTGAAATTTTACGGATTGAACATTACAAGGCTCTTTTAATATACCAATAATTTAATCACTGTTAAATCAGTAACTATAAGATAAACTTCGAAGAAAAAAATGCACAATCTTGATAAAGGACTGCTTTAATCTTTTTCCTATTCCGAAATATTTCTACAATTTTTAAAAATTATTGTGAAGTTTGGAAGTGTACTTCATCAGAAGCGTCCAATTTTGCAACAAAATGATTGATGGGAGTTTCACTTTCTACTATGCTGTGAAATGTTTTTGAGATAAATCTTGGAGCAACATCGTTTGCATCCGTAACATGCAGCAGCAAATCCTGAAAACGTTACTGAAGTGGGATTCGAAATGAGTTGCTATGTGAAATAAAACATTTAAGGAAATGCATTTTTGAGAAATCTTTCAGAAGTTGAAATAAGAACTTTTATTATATAGTACGAAATGAATATTTGGAAAGTTTACCGTTTCTGAAGTTAACTGTATGGAATCGGAAGCAGTCAATTTGAATTTAAACAAACGTTCCGTTTCGTAATCAAGCGGTTTCATGAGTGATATAGCACCGTTTCGAGGATCCATCGAAAGCACTACAGTGTTAAATTGTATTTTCTTTTCATGCGAAATGATTCATATTAGTTAGAAGAGTAGTCGAGACAGCTTTTATTTCGTATTATTTGATTCAAATAATTTTTTATCAGCAAATCTTTCAGGCTTCCTTTGCTGCCAATATTTTAGGGTATGAGAAAATTACCTGAAGCATTTGGTCCAGTAATTCCATATGAAATGTAATTATCATCTATATCCGGATCAATTGCCTCAACCTAAAATTAGTGAAGAGAATAAAGTACTCGCTTATGATATCCGCATTAAATAACAAAGAAATAATCAGTACATAGCTCTGAAAACTTCATCCAGTGATTAAAATTAAACGCTACGATTTAGAAATTTAGCAACCTTCAAAAGTTCACTACCAACGGCTGTTGATTCGCTGACTGATATAGTGTAAAGAAGTTGGGTAAAATGAGGAGCAGTATCACTTATATCGTGAACCCTTATGACTACATAACTTTCCGCCCGTACTCCTAGTCGAGTGACGTCGATCGCAACAACAGTTAAATTATAAAAAGCGTGTATCTCACGATCCAACGCTTTATGCACACTTATCATACCTAAACAAATAAGTTAGTTAGTCCAGCAATAAAATTATAAAGTATGTACAAAGTAAGTCATTAATTTCGTAGCATAAAAAGTTTACAACTTGAAAGGAAGTTAATTCATTTTAAGATCCAATGAAACAAGTTTCATTCGATCAAATCATAAAACTTTCAAACTATTTCAAAGTTATAGATTAGATTGAATAAATATGATCGAAAATTGGAAAAAATATGCGAAGTATGCTTTTTTTCGAAAAAATAATTAAAATTTAAATATTGTTTGGGCAAAATCGATTATGAGACCAAGTTAACAGATTTCTCTCCCTCCTATTCATTTAATTTATTGTCGCTAACCAAAAAACTACCTGTATCAAAATCAATTTTGAAGCGATTATCGTCATTTCCAGATTTAATTGCGTACCCGATCCTACCTCCTACAACGCTTATCGCATGAACATTTGTCACCGAGGAACCAGGTGCTGCATTTTCCAGAATATGAGCTTCTTGATAGCGATTACCAATTATAGGTATACTTCGATCAACAATATGTATCACAACATGGGTCGACGATGATAGAGAGGGTTCTCCTAAAACGGAGGTTACCTTAAATTTTTGCTTGAAAATTATCTCGATTTCTGAATTTGATGTCAGCTAGAAATTTCGGGAGTTCTAAATTTTACTGTCGTCTGAAAGCTTATGGAAACTGTTAAATGAATGGAGTATAACCATCTGCCAATTTTACTTGATTTACTTGATGAAAGTATTAGTTGATGGAAAGTGCAAACTTGACCTTTTCAAAATCATTTATCTTTTCTTTACCTTGATCTTCTGCAATGACTTCCAGTGAAACACTGTCGAAGTTAGCATCTTCAAATGATTGACTGATAACGATCTTCCCATCGTATTTGTTAATATCAAAATAATTCGTGCTTGTTTTCAATTTATATCTGAAATAAATGATTACATATAGCTAGGTAGAATTTATTTATTTAACTTTGGAGTTAAATGAAGTTAGTGAAACGTATTGTTGTACTAAATTACAAAACCAATAATGAAGTGTTATAAGGTCTCAATTTTGAATTTGTGAAGTGTTATAAGAATCAATTTTGAACTTGTTCATAATTTAGAAATTTTTAAATGACTTCTGCTCTAGTACTTCTCATAGATGTCATAAAAGTGACTGGTCGAAAGAATCAAAAGGTTTCGTTACACAAATTCAATTCCTCATTCAGTTTAATTCAACCACACTTAAAGAAATTTGTAACGAACCTAATGGCACCATTGAATCCCTCGTCAGCATCAATAGCCTTCACACTAATCACTTTATAGCCTGGCTTAACATCACGTGGAATTGTAGGCTCATAGGGAAGACCAATGAAGTGTGGTTGACAGTCGTTTCTGTCCTCAATTTTGATTGTCACAATACTTTGCGCTCGATTGTTACCACCACTCAACAGCCGTGCCTGAAAATTTCCAGTTTTTCAGCTATATTTGAATATCATTCTGAAGAGGACATCAATATTTGTAATCACTTGTTATCTTATGAACTTCTAAAAAAAAAATCCTAAAATTTTTAACAACACTGAAAACAGCAATGTTAATTGCGCAAAAATCATACCTGCACAATCAATTGTACTGCAGACATTTTTTCCCGATCAATAGCTGTACCAGTCCAGCTGATAATTCCGGATGTGGCGCCGACTGTGAAATAATTGTTTGGATTTAAAATGCTGTACAGAAGACTATCATTTACCGTGCTCTTGGCTCTGACAGTTAACAACGGTACCATTACAGATGATGTTATGTTTTCTGTCATCACTGCTTCATAGTTTGCTTCCAAAAACTTGATCGTATTTCCAATCTCAGAAGTGTTTTTAATGCGAACCCACAGGACCGTAAAATCTGATTTTAAACCGTCCGATACGACTAAATTAATCTGAAACTGACAATCAATAAACCAACCTTTTAAGATTTACAGTAATCTTTTTGTTTTTCGTACTTCATAGATATTGGTTAAGACAGTGGAATTGAAAAGAATGGGGTTTTTCATAATTTTGAAGTATGACCTAAATTGCAAATCAATGTAAAAGTTTTATTAGCAAATTTGCGACTTGTCTTCAAAAAGTTGGAATTGAAGTTCAACTCTAAAAGGTGTGATAAATAATGTTACGGCTACCTCATAATTATTTTCTGCATAATTAGTGGAACTATTGCCATTCGTATAAATGCGTCCGGTAAATTCTTCTACAGCAAATAATTTGTTAATGTCAGGTGCGACAACGGCGTAACGTAATACACCTACTGTGTCCACATCTTTCGCTGTCACATAACATACTGTTGTACCTGAGGAAATATTTTCAGGTACTCATTAGAGGTCCAATTATCAAATTACGACAATACAACCAATTTCAATTTTTTTCTGTTTTCAAATTAATGTTGACAGAATTCTTGCAAGGAAAAGTTAGTTACTTGTTAGGTTGGTCTTGATAGGCCGGTTATCTGTAGGCTTACACTTGATGAATTCGTTACTACTCGTGATAACATTTACTTTTCAGTTGCGTAGTTACACAGCAATGTTTTTCGCATTTAAAAGTCAAGAATTCTTTCTCAATCCAAAAATCAAAATTTACGATCAACGAATTTACAAGTGAACCTTTAAGAGTGGGAAGAAAAAGTGTTGCATTGTACTGCTTTTGGGTGAATGAGGGTGGCATATCATTCATATCAAGAATCGTTATTTCAACTAAGGCTGGAACTGGTGATGTTAACATCTGTGGTGCAGAATCACTTGCTTGGACATAAAATGACCAGCGTTTTACCTAAAACATAATCATTAATCAGTTACAGGCACTGATAAATGCCACTAGTGATCAATTGATACCAGATATTTTAATCGGTATTTAAAAATGAATATTTCCTTATCGAAGGATCGAAAGCGAAAAGTGCTCTTTTTTTTAAAATATGATGATTGACAAACCTAACAGTATCGAGAAAAGGAAGAGAAGAGGACATTTGTCAAGGATAAAATATGAGAATATAATTAATAATGAAAGTTTTTTAATATGACTACTGACAAACCACCAACGACATCGACAAAAGCAATTCACTTTTACCGCATCATTGAAAATACAAAGCAAATTTTTTTTAAGAAAAGAAAAGTTTTGACTTTCTTGCTGTTTTGCTGACAATATTTCAAAAACATTAATTCTCGTCATCTGACATCCACCCTTTTCTGCTAGCTCTTTGAACACATTAATGAAAGCACCAACTTTCTTGAAGTCAATTTTCGTTTTTGTTAGAACAGCACCAGAGATGTAATCGATCGTGAAATATGGCTCAAGCGGTGAAACAATACAATAATTAACAAGTCCATTCATTCCTCTGTCATGATCAATCGCTTTCACAAGCAATTGATGGCCATCTTCCAACAACACCGATGAATCTGCAAAACGAATTCCTCATTGCAATTTAAAAAATTCAGTAATTCTAAAAACTTCTTGATAAAATTTCATTTTTCATTGAATATTTGACCGAGAAGTCTAACTTCGTCAAAATTTGATACTCAAATATTATAAGCGAAAAATCAAACTTGGCGGCATATTTTCATGAATATATCCATGATAAACTGTATTTTTGAAGTATGGCGCATGGTGATTCTCACTAACAATCTGAAATGGTTAGTCTGTAAAGTTGTTTAGATTTCAATAAACTGAAAATTAAATTGCGACCTAGTACACATATCAAATACCAAAACATGCGAAAAGTACTAGTTCTGAATAGAAAGTTGGGATGTAAACGTCGGAAAACCGCTCAAGTAGAACTTCTGTTTATTTGTTCTTTCTAACAGTAAACACTGCTTTTTTTTCCTATCTTTTCCAGTGTTTTTTGTCTTATCACTCCTTCTACCTCACTTTTAGAAATTTCTCAATTTTTTGAACAATTATTTACTTTCCATAATTTTCCTCTTTGGCCTCCCCCTCTTGAAGATGGATTCGGTCAGTGAGATCCATTATAACCTCCTACTCTTAGATATGGATCGGGTCGGTGGACAGAACGAAAAAAAATGGTCTGATAATTTGTAATAACTATAAGAGAAGCTTACATTGATCTTCAGCTCCATGGAATCTTCAGTTCCGAGCGAATTTCGTGCTATAGCTATACAAGTATGAGGAAATGATGTAGCAGCATTAGTGACGAGTTTTGTAGAGATAACTCCGGAAATTGGATGTACTGAGAGGAACGGACATGGATCACGGAAACTATACCGAATGCTCGCAACACCATCCGTGTTTAATATGTAAACAATCGTATCCGGTTGTGAGGATTCGTGTATCGTTAGGGAATATGATGGACTGAAAAATGAGTTAATTATAAAAACTTGATTAAGTAATATTAAGGGATTTGTAATTCTTGTTTTACAGATTTTGATGTCTGATGTCTTAGTTGAATTGTAGAATGCAGTAATGAACTTTGAACATCTGATCGCGATATTTGGTGAAGCCAAATGTAAAATGTACAGTTGTACAGTTTATTCATTTTCTATCCCACCAAATGTACAGTTTATTCATTTTCTATCCCTTTCTCTCTTTTTATTCATTTGTTTCTTCTTCGTTCGATTTCACAGTTTTATTTATTTTAATGTTTCAGACAAGAGACTATTGGCAAATTTCTAAAACAGCAATTCAAAACACCTCAAAAAAAAAGTATGTTTCGTGTCGAAAAAAAAAGAGTAACAGTGATAAGAGACCAAGCATCAAAGGACAAGGCAAAGCTGCGAATCAAAATTTAAACTTACTGAGGTAGATTGACCCGTCCGAGATCATCACTGAGTATATTTACTCCAACACTGCATCGATCAGTTAAACTATCATTTTGCTGGATACTAGCCTGTACTATCAGCAATGCGCTTTTATGACGGTATGATATCAGTGGAGAAGCTGTTCTGATCTCACCGCTATATTCATTGATCACAAAGTGACCGCCTCCATTGCCTAGCGAATTTCAGTGAAATGAATAAGCAAGCAAATAAAAATGTAACTGAAAGTAATTGAAATGATGATGGAAATTCTATACTAAGTGAGAATTTAATCTTCTCTACCCAACCAACTATAAACAAAATCAAATTAAACTAAAGTTTAAACTGCAATATCAGCAATTACTATTAGTTACAATACACACAGATATTTAGTAGATCGAAAAAAATTTACTTCATATCGAGAAATCAAAAATGTTGAGTACCTTCGATAATTGAGTATTTGATATTACTGTGACCCGGATCGTAGGCACGCACTTTCAAAACTCGTGTTCCCACCGGTGAGCTATAAAGATAAAGAGCTTCTTTCAAATGAAAATATATCGAGAAATATATGATTTAAAAAAATTGTGAAAAAAAGCTTAAAGTAATTAAGCACTTTTTTAAGTATTAAGTATTAAATTAAAAAGGGAGTAATAATCTCACTAATCCTTAGTGTAAGAGATGCCAATTTTCTTAACCGACAAATACACATTTCTACTTGTTTGACCTATTATTTATTCATTTGGCTTCATTATTTAACTAACAGAATAACGAATTAAGAGAGAACAATTTGAATCTGGAGTTATTTAAGTGACAATTGAACTAATTGTTAACAACGCTTCGTCCTTATGCCTGATCTTCAAACAAACCTTGCTGAAATGGATGTGAAATATTCAGAGACAACAAATTTTGGTGACGTTTTTGTCTCATCATACAATGATATACCGAGCAGTGCATAGTTGATCATTTGATTGAAACGAGCGTATACTACCAATGTAAAGAACTTAGTAACGATGTTGTTGAGTGATTCAGCAATAACTACTTCTCCGGAACTATAAGTATATGAAATTAGTTACTGATTTGAAGTATGAAGACCACAATTTCCGGAATTCGTAAATTACCTTGGATTGACACGTAATTTGTCGGCGACAGCGATATCCTCTACCACATGTATCCCAAAAATTATTCCTCGATCACTGATGGAGCTATTCAGCTGTTCGACAGTAGCTTTCAAGGTATGCACCACCGTTCCTACCGGTGCTGTCTTCAATACAGGAATTTTATGATACTGGGCATTAAATTCCGGTCGACTTCGATGTTTTCGGGATATCTCAATCATTACCTGCAATTTTTCTGAGAAGCGTGTTATTTTTTCAATTTATTCTACCTGCATTGTCATCAGCAAACGTTTTATGTATTCTATCTTCGTCTATTATAGTCTAAAAAATCTTTTCTGTTTCACTCAATTTTAAACCAAATAAGCTAAACTATGGAACTAACCACTCCTTCTGTAGTATCAAAACCATCACTAACTGCGAATTTCAATGTCACTTCAGTGATATTCTTTTTGATGAAATCAAGACTCTTCGCCAAGTATAACTCTCCTGCATCACAGCTGAAACAAAGCAGAGGAATTCCATTTCACTTCATGAAAAAATATAATATTCGGATTTTGTAGAAATTTGAAAACTAAATTTTTGTTCATATGTTTACTGTCTACATTGCTTTATACCTTTTTTTTTCTGTTTATTTAATCACTAATTAACTATTTTTTCAAAACTCGTGGTGAAAACTATAAAACTAAACAAGATATGGTCATGAAGAGCAGATCCTAAAAGTATTTGAAAACCTGCTATTTCCTAAGATAGCAAATCAGTTTACAACGAGAGAATAACCTTATAGCGAACGTATTGTTTGGATTGCCATCAGTGATTTTCCACCATAATTGATCGCCGTCTGGATCTTCGGCCTCAATTAGTCCAACTATTTCACCAATGTTTTCTTCGTCTGATATCGATAGCCGAGCCCAGTGATTTTCGTTTAACAACTTCGGCTTACCATTTGCCTTTATAACTTTATTAATCAAAAATTACAAAATTTCATAGACCTATTCTAAAAATTCTCAATTTTAATTTGGAATTTCTCAATAATAACGTACAGTTGTCTTTGCATGTTTTCCAACAGCATTCAAAGTGATCAAAACTGACAGTGACATTTGTGGTGGTTGACCCATATCACTTGCCTGCAAGTCAGTTAAACTTATTAGTGATTTAAAGCAAATCAGATTCCAAGCTAATTTATCTGATTCTGATTCATAACTCATTTCATCAGACAAATAGTAATATGCATGATGGCAAGTCTTAATATAAAATTTCGAAATTCGATATTAACTGGAGGAGATAAAAATGGAATGGGTGTACCTTAACAGTCAGTTGATAACTTTCATTTTCTTTTAGAGGATCAGATGTAATTATTCGACCGTCAGAATCAATAGAGAATCGAGGATCTGCTTCAGTGAAATTATACAACAACAGAGCATTTTGTCCTTCATCAGCATCGATGGCAAATATTCTTTAAGCATGGAAAATAAGAACTCAATCATATATTTTTGTGTATTTCTATATTTTAGCTTAAAATTATTCAGAACCTTCCAGTTAGTGACGGGTACGCTCACCTGCACAGTTCACCAATGTCACCAGCTGGCACATTGAAATTGTAAGTTGTTTGTTTGAAAGAGGGTGGATTATCGTTTAGGTCAGTGATAGTTATTACTACTGGTACCGTGGTACATAATTTTGGATCACCTTGATCGCAGAATTCTACTACAATAACGTGCTCTTTTTGAGTTTCGTGGTCCAGCCTTCTTTTTCCACGAGTCACAATGTAACCTGAAATATTCGAAATATAAATCCTGAACAAATATACCGTAGTTCTGAGTTCGACCGCGAAAATAAATGATTTCTTACAAAAATATTTGAAACGGACCCGTTTTAGAATCGATTGCAAAGAAGCTCTGAGGATTACCGCTAATTATTTTAAAGTGCACATTCGTAATACCATAACGGTTCGAAAGGTCATCTTTATCTTCCGCTTCAACCTGAAATATAACAAATAATGAAAGAAACAGAAATTTCAACAATAGATGAGTACAGTTTGATTTTAATATATCAAGAACAGTTTGATTTTAGCATGTTAGGAAAAGATGTTGTCACTCTTTTCTATAGAAATCAATTGATTACTTTGATAATGACTGTATCTTCAGGTGAATTTTCTGGAATACTGGAAAAATAGATAGGGCGTAAGGAGAGCGGTATATGATCATTTCTGTCCAGAACACGAACAAATACATGAAGTACGGAAGTAAGTGGTACTGGGTTCAAGTCACAAGCTTCAATTGTTAACCAGTAGGAACCGCATGTTTCACGATCGAGAACTGCCGAAGTTCGTAATATTCCTGAAAATTTATGATTTATAAGATATTACAAAAGCACTAGAAAGAAATTAAGTAGAAATAAACAACAATTCTATGAACGATCTTCCTGTAAAAATTCTATAACGGAAAAATGTTTTATAAAGGCCACTGATGACAAAGAAAAATGATCCAAAAAATAGATTCTGAGTTCAGAAAATTTCTGAGAATTCTGAGAATTCAAATTCAAATTCAACAATTCTGAGAATTCCAAAAATTCTGAGAAATTCAATACCGAACTAACATCCTTCTCATCATACCTTCCGAGTCAATGGTGAATGAACTGATTCCATCACCATCAATAACAGTATACTTTACAGGCATTCCTGGACTATCTGGATCAACGGCATTTAAAGTAAGAACTTCGGTCCATACAGGCATATTTTCTGCAAAACCAGGGAAATAATTGAAAATTTTGTATAAATGTTCACAAAAACATGAAATATGTCGAGGTTCACTAGAAGAAATCCTATTCAAAATTTATGAAAATCTTCAACATTTTAAATTAGCATAAGACACATTTCTCACCATAAACACTGGTTTCGTATGCAATATCATCAAAAAGTGGCGGAAACAAATTTTCATTCACATCCGAAAACTCCACCAGTACTGTACATATAGAACTTAACATCGGTTCACCCTTATCCATTGCCTGAATTTCATTGATATAACATTTTTAGCAATGCAGTAATTTGATCGATAACACAGTGAGTTAGGGAAGTTAATTAATAACCGATAGACGAATAATCAAAAGTAACCAACTCACTTCTACAGATAAATTGTATAGACTAGTTGTTTCGAAATCAAATGGCTCATCACTGCTTGTAAAAATACATCCTGTATCTTCTTGTATACGAAACGGTAACGTAAGGGATGCTTCAATAGTACTGTCAAATGCGAAGGCCACTTCACCATTTTTACCCTCATCAGGATCCCATGCTGCTACACACGTTAGTAAGACGTTATTCGGATAATCTTCCGGAATTATTACCTGAAGCGTTGATTAATACGGAAATAATATCATTGCATGGTTAACAGATATCATGAAGGTGGAACTATAAAAAAAAAACAGATGACATAGGTCGATACGGAAGGATATTTTAAAAATAATATTAAAAGAAGTAGTAATAATGAAATTATTAATCGGAAAACAATCTTGTTTAATTGCTGTCAATTGTTGCTCTTAAAAAAATAAAATTGATCAACGATATTTCTGAATATTGATTTCTAGCAATTGTTATCAATTTAAAAAAATTCGAAAGATTCATACTTTTCGAATAGGCTCGGCACATGAAGGAGCATTATCATTAACATCAGTGAGAACAATTGTGACATTAACAAATGCAACTTTCATCGGATGTCCATGATCGAAAGCCATGATCGTAAGTCTAAAAGTCATATTTTTACTCCATTTTTTGTTTTTTTTTCGATCTTGAATTAATTAAATTTTGAAATTTCTATTAAAAAACTAGAAATGTTTATAATTATTTGTAGGTAGAAAGGTCAACGATCTACCGATGAAAAGCCATCTCTTCGCGATCGAGTTTCTTTATAACTTGCAAAACGCCATGTTTTTCATCAATTTGAAAATGACTCTGCGAATCGATTATTTGATATCCAACCTGTCCGTTGTCACCATGATCATTGTCCTGTGCTAAAAGTGCTAAGAAGTTGGTTCCAACTGCAGTATCCTCCGTTATATGCACGTGATAGTAAGGCTGAAATGGTGAAAAAACTGGAAAATGGACTTTAGTATTGGTAGAAGAGTAATAAAAGAGATAAAAATCATATTTGATTATTATTGATTTCCTAATACTACAGACCAGCTAACTTTATCAGCCGAGTTTGAAAATTTCTGAATACCTTCTCGAAGCGTGGCCTATATACATTGGCCTCAGTGATCAATACTGTAATAGTTCCATTAGTGCATCGAACAAGTTGTCCCCAATCACAGGCACTTATTTCAACGTTATATTCCACTTGTTTTGTCTTATTTCTGTTTCTTAACAAATCTACCAACGATGCCAGTAGAATAACTTCACCAGTAAACGGTTCCAGCGCAAAGAATTTGTCGAAGGTGCCGAACCGTATCAGGCCGGCATAACCCATATCACCGTCATGTGCTTCTACCTGTCCCACAACCTTGAAGAACTAGTTTTAATCTAAATTTCACTGTATGCACAGTATGCTGTATAAAGACAGTATGTTGCTGTCAACATACTGCTTTTATACAATTATAAACAACAATCTATTAATTATTGATGATATGTTAGTGATGAACAACTGTTGAAGTCCAGCATTGATACTAAATAATTAAATAAGGATTTTTATTAGTTCTGATTGTCCCTCTCAAGTATTGCATACAAATTACAGTATTATTACCAGTTTACTGTATAAATTACTTTCAAATGAAGGTATCATTTACAAAATTGCCCAATATTAACAGTAAATATAAATTTCCCTCTTTCTGTTTCCCATCTCTCTTCCTTAAATACTAAATATTTACTTCATTTATCGAATCAATATTTTCTCATTTCCACAGGGGCTAAATAATCCATCTGTAGCGAACAATGTGAGAAGAAATGGAGAAACGGGAAAAATTGATACATTAACTAAAAACAAAAACTTCAACTTAAAAACTTGATAGGAAGATTACCTTTCCAGGCGGGGTATCCACTGATACAACAAATACAGTTTGGTTTATGAAAACCGGTGAATGTTCATTTTGCGGTTCACGCAGAAGCGATGGCCTCGTTTTAAGAGGTGGATTTGTACCGCTTATATACATACTGATCAATATTTCACTACTTCGCGGAAACGGCCATCCAGCATCAGATGCTCGAATCCTAAACTTCCACTGAGATTGATTCTCTGGCGGTTTCTGCTGCAATACAACCTGGAAAAAGGTGTAAGATGAATCTCTGGTTTAACTCTGATGAGTTTTATGTTTCAAATATTCAGTACAGACATCACGTCAAATAAAATGGGATTAATCTCTCCCTAAACAAGGCCAGGTTTTTTTATAATTAAAAATTTTTTTTTCGACGGTTTCGCTAAGCACACTCTTCTATTGCAAATAGATGACATACTTCGCCTGAGTCAGGAATGACGCTAAAGATCCTCATAGTGGTAAGAGCTTCACTGAACAGTTCATATCGGATGTGGCCATTTGCGCCACTATCAATATCCAGTGCTTCTGCTTTAAACAATACCTTGTTGAGCGGATAATTCCGAGGAAAAGCTGCAAATTTAACTGGTTTTAGAAGCATCGATATCTATTTCTTAAATTAGAAAAGAGCCATTTTTTATTCATCCAATTATTACAAGTGAGAAAGATTTCAAAATTCCCTGGGAAAAGATTTAAACAACTTAAAATTTAAATTAAGAAAGATGGAAGATACAACAACCAGAAAAAAACCGCGATGGTAATGGTAACTCCTTCAGACAATTTGTTCCATCCTACTTACTACTATTGTCACAGCGTTTTGTTTAAATATTTTTTCTTCAAATCGTTTTATTCAAACTTTTCCCTTCAAATCGTTTTGTTGAAATACTTCTTGCTTACTTTTCAAACTTACTTAGGTGAATTAATCTAGGTAAAACAGTAAAATTTGTTGAATGGTTAAACCAAAACATGCAAAGATTTTCATGAATTTACTAAATTTTCTGTCAATAACATTGATTATTGCTAATCTCTCGCACTTCTTAACTTCTTTGCCTTCCAAATATTGCAGGAAAAATATCAACAAGAATTCTTCCAAGTCAGAAGAGCCAGAAAGTTTGTAAAAAGCTTACCAATAGGATCACCTCGAGCCCATTTAACAGCGAAAGTTGGACAGTGGTCATTGCTGTCTGTCACTATCACTTCTACCTCTTTCACTGCTTCCAAATCACTGTCCAGAAGCTGAAACATATCATTTCCTGTCAAGACGGTAACTTCTAAAACATTTCATCTAAACTTGCTAGCAGTTTGTTGTGATCTAATTAAAACTCGTCGGCAGTTAGCTGTGACAAGTCAAATCTAATTAATTTATGCAATTAACATTTTGGATTTAGCTACTCTCCCTTTCAGTGATTATTATATTGGCTCGAAGATTAGATTTGTAGTTTCTATGTTGAACTATTATGACTAATGAAGAAGAAAAAAGTGCCAACCTTAGCAGAAACTTCAAAACGATACATTGACACATTTTCGTAATCAAGCCATTTGATTACTCTTAAATGTCCACTCTTCTCATTAACAGAGAAGGGTAGATTTATCTCAGCGTTTGAAGTTGAATACCTGTTAAAGATAGTTTTTTTTTTTTCCAGAATTCATGAAAATTTTCATATCTGTATCAAGGTGATGAAGAATTTCTTTCTTTTTGCACGTTTCTATTTGCTACAGCTTCCCCAATTATTTCATTTCTCAAAATTATTACCAGTTGATGTTGTATTGTCTGATATTCAACTTTAAGATTAAGAGATATCTATCTTGACAGATTCCGGTTCCGTTTTCTACCGTGACTTTTACTACATTACGGGACAACAGACAAGTAAACAAATGATGTGAATTTTGCTATAATTAATTTATTACAGCTATGGTATTGTGAGTCAAACCTTATTCGCTCATCATCTCCATCGAAACCATGTACAATATAAGCTTTTAGTTGTGTTAAAACATAGCCTAGCGGTACTGACTCGTTGACAACAATTCGCATAACTGGTAGATCATCAAATTTCACCAGTCGTTTGCCTACTAATTGTACACTAATATTTTCCATCAGATCTTCGACGAAATCGTTCACAGCAATTGCTTTCAACTGGATAAACCAATCAGCTTGTGGCCAAACACCTCCAATGATTTTATTTTACCAAAACTTGTATTTGAATTAATTCGTATTAAATTTCTTCGATTCCTTAAGCATTTCAAAATTGAGACCACATCTAAACATGAGCGACAGATATGCTAGAGTGGTTTAAGAATCCTTGGGAAATCAGCTGATGACGCATTAATTAACTTCAAAAGTTACTTCAAGTCACTTAAGTCACTTTAAGTCACCCTAAAGTCACTTTTCTCTGACCTTATGCAGGAAATCAGTATTTTCGAACAAAGTAGTCTAAAGATGTTAAAGGACAAGATGGCATTTATCTGTCATTCCTCGGCCAAATGACATTGTGGAAGAAGATAAAGCATATGAGAAAATGAGATAAATGATTTTTTCGCAAAAATGCTAACCAGCAATAGTTTCAACCAGCCAAACATTGTCATTGCTTAAATCTTTTGTCAGGACAAAAGCGCCAGCATATTCGCTATCAACGATCTCCAGTTTAGTAAAAGCATCTGTTGTCACTCCTTCTATCCTGGCTATTGCAACAGTTTGAGTGACATTCCATAAACCCGTTGATATCGGTTTCACCTCAACTCTTAACTTTCGATCATTCTTCTCCACTGACTCTACCGTTATTATCTATGAAATTCATGGTTTAATAGATTTTTTTTTTTTAATTCAAACATTTCGCCCTGACCATATTATAAACTATGCATGCGTTCAAGAACCCGCAGAACCACAATTTTGGAACAAGTTTAAGAGTTACTGAATTTCCATATATTGGTTTGAAACACTGATTGATTAACAAGGAAATACTTCATAACTGTTAAAAGTAAAAAATATGTTAATTAATGGAAAAAGAACCGCTTTAGCTTTATTGTGATTGAAAAGATTATTTTCTTCATCAGCATGAGCCTTTTTCCGGAACAGCCTTGAAGCTCGATCTTCGGCCAAAAGCGTCAATTCATAGGTGCCAGATTGCAAGGATCGCAAATTCCGGATAGCACCAGAAATCGGATCGACCATGAAATCAAGTGACCATTCCACTAACGAATAATAAATTTGGCTGTTCAGAGCAACATCAGCATCAGAGGCTTGCACCTGTAGGATGGTGGTAAATGGTGGCACCTGCAAAAAACTGAATATAACACAGAATCTTATCATTTGCAATAACTTATCAGTCCAGACAATATCTCATCCAATGTCTTATGATTTTATAAGTTATGTATCGCAAATGCTGTAGTCGCAAGTATGATGACGCAAACGGTGCAACATTTTTGCATGTATTCATGCATTTGAATTTCAGGATTCACTATTGATGGTAAAGGAAATCGAAACAAACATTTTGTTTCACTTCAGCTCGATACTCATCTTTCTCAAATATCGGTCCCGCATCATTTTGATCCGTAACAAATAAGTTGACCATAACTGTTGTCTCCAAGTTTGTTGCATCCTTTCGTCGACATGATGCTTTAACAAGAAATTCATACCGCTCCTAAATTTAAAACGATTTACAAAATTACTCGAATGTCGAAAATATACCAGCATAACTTCACTGATTTTAGAAATCTCCAAAGCAATTTTAGCCTTCAGAATGATAAGTAGTTAACATCTCAGGATGCAGCTTAACAGTATCACTCCCCGATCTGTGATTTTCGTACATCTTTCTTTTCCAACCAAGAAACAGTAAACATTTGAGGAAATGCATTGAGCCTTTTGAAGAGTTTTCATCAAAAGGTCGTGTTAACTACTTCAAGGTTTAGTTAAGTCATTGTTAAAGCAATTGATATTGAGCTAGTTCTGATATTCTGGGCATATCCCATTCCTTTTAATCTTTCTTTAATTATTCCATCACTGGTAAACCTTTAACTCTCGATTGAGTATACCATCGTTCCGATATCGAATTTGCAGAAATGCAAAATCTCCTACGGTTTTCGCTTCAGCTTTGAAATACTGTCTATCGCCCTGAAAAGTTGCAGTTTCATGTTGATAAGATTAAAATTTTAAGATCCTCTAATTTTTTTGGAAAAGGTATTTCCATGTTCCGGTCATACTTGAAATTTGTGTCTAATAAAATTAAGATTATGATTCTCTGTTTTTGATTAACAGATTGATCAAAAACAGAAAAGGAAATTCGAACAAAGGCAAGGAAAGAATTCATATGCAACATATTTGCTATTACTTCGACAATTCGAAATTTCAAAATGGCATCGTCGCTTGGTAGCGACACACCCATTCGGATGGGTTCATTTACGACCGCATAAATGTCTTTGCCACGGGCATTCTCTTCCAGTGAGACGTTATAAACCGGTGCTGTGAACTGAAATTGCTTTTTTAAAGCTCATTTTCCAAAATTCAACTTTATCGCTAGTTTAAAATTTTCATATGAATTCAATTTTACCTTCCAAAATTCTTCGAAGATAATTAGAGATCCAACAATTATGAATAAAGATATGTGACTAATAGGCAGTATAGAAGAACAATGAATGTAAAATCCTTTTGAAGTAGTCTTTAAAATTTTGAATTTGGTTTACTTTTTAGCTGCATTGGGTATCTGTTTTTCTTGTTTTTTTTTCTTTTAAAAATTTTTCTATTTTTTATTTAAAATATTTTCCATTAAATTCAATTTCTGACATATTATTATTATATTATTAGAATCAAGAAACGCATATATATATATATATATATATATATATATATATATATATATAT